AGACTAAACCTCCACACAGTTATTGGGAGAAGGAGTTCTCATTTTCAAAATACTATTGAATGATCTCCTCCTGCTAACATCCTGTTGATTCCCAAACAAGCAATGGGAAAAATCAATATGAGAAACTAAATGCAAGTCTTAGTCAAGAGACCTATTTAGCACATTTAGAGTTTTGTAGTAGTGTAAAAAAAAAGGGGGGGGAAGGTATTTGCAGTGAAGGCTCCCACCCCTCCAATTTGAGTGCATTCACAAGCCTGTATAAGGAAGGGAGAGGAAGTGATGAAACATGCATGATGATGTCATGAAGGTAAAAAGTGGTTTGCATAATTGCATGAGATGTTTAGATGCAAGTATGTAAGGGTGGAATTTGAATTCCGATATCATCACATTCATGTTGTCTTTTGGAAGTGATCTTGCTGTAGACGCCCATGAGAAGAAAGATCCTTTGCTTCCCAATAAAGCTTGAATGACACACATTCTGATGCCTGTTTTTCATGACTTTTCTTTCAAATGAAAAATTAGATTACCAATATAGAAGGGGTTGCCGAAAGCCGAACATTTTCATTGATTAACCTCAGTAGTCTTAGAAATGTGGGATCTTCATAGTCATAGCGCTTCCCAAGTAGAATAGAAACTATGATGTTGGAAACAGCAGCAGTCATAATTGTTTTGATCTCAAATGGTTTTCCTGGGCAATGAACAATAAATCAAAACAGAATTGTGAATGAAACCAGGATTACATGTGCTAAATAAACTAGATATTGCAGTTTTCATGATCTCATGCCTTTCCTTACTGCAACTGGCTTACCAAAAAGCAAATAGCATGATGAGTTTGTAGGTATGTAGGAATGCTCCACAAAGGAACCTCATTTGGCAGTTAGAAAAAGAAGTTTTAATTTTCTAGCTTATTTGTATATCATAGGGCTTCTCTAATTTCTTCTTCCGCAAGGCAATGAATGGTAAAATTTATCCATATCATTTCTGAGTTGTAAAAATGCAGAGAACCATAAATGCCAACGATTAGAGCTCTGTGTATCTCCTTGCTGATACCCTATGCTCATCCAGACTTTGCCAACTGAGATACTGTGTGCTAGGCACTTTTGACACTGGAGGATTTTAAGCACGGCCATTTTGGAAAATATCGGATTCCTTCTCCTACTATGTGAGGTGTGCTGCTGAATAAGTGCACCAATGGCAGTTTGATCCTTAGGATTGAATAATGGAGGATCCCATTTTGGCAAGTGAAAGATAATACTTTTGTTGGAGAACATGGGGAAAATATGAATACTCTAGGTCACTTAATACACTTAGATGATGTGCCTTTGCTCTTTGAAATACTGCAACATGTTTATCACTGTCCCAAAGCAGAGTGGAGCAAAATGTCCAGTTTGCACCACCTTTTCATGCCCAGATGGAGAGCTTGCAGCCCCAACTCCTCTCTGTATAGAGGATCTAGAGGATTCTGTAAAGAAAATTAAGTCTAGAACTGTCATTTTTGAGAGATCTTTGGATTACACTAAATTAACTTTTCAAAACCTCTGGAAGCATTGAGACATACATAAGTCATATTTCTGGAAATATAATTTCTACAAATTGATCAGTGAGGCATCTTTGCAGGAAAATACTGATGAGTTTAAGAACAGTTGGAGAGAGGATACTCCAAAAGCACTGCTTGTTCACTTGATATAATCTGAGGAAATTATTTCACATTCTACGTATGTCCTGGAGGATGCTCTGGTAGAGCCTTAGGAGGAAATGCCAACCCACCTGCATAAGTCTTAATTCTCTTCATCAAAACACTACACTCTTCAGTGATTTTGTCTTCAAGGGTCCTCCTGCCCACTCCGTAGTCCC